CTGCCTTCTCTGGCTGCTGTCTCCTAGTCTGTAAAATGGGGATCCCTCTGGCACAAGGGACCCAAGAAAGAGAGATCTTGTGATGGGGAAAGGGCCCAGGAGCCAAGAATGGGGACAGGGTGTCAGGGAAGAGGAGAGAGGAAGCTGGAGATAGGGCTGGGGGAAAACAGAGAATCAGGACCAGAAAATGGAGGGCAAGTGGAAAGGAAAGATGGGGAGGAGGAGAAGAGCACCAGAGCATAAGGAAAGGGGGCAGGAAGGACGGAGAGGCCTGTATGGTAAGGTAGGCCATCTAAGGAGAGTGGAAGCCAAGGGGGAGAAGGAGTCAGGCTGGGTGGGTGTGGGGCTTCTCTATAGCTACATTGCCTGAGGTCCTTTTCTGCCTTCTCTATGTGCCAGGGCAAGTTCACCACGGCGAGTGATGTGTGGGCCTTTGGGGTAACTCTGTGGGAGGTGCTGATGCTCTGTAGGGCCCAGCCCTTTGGGCAACTCACCGACGAACAAGTCATCGAGAATGCAGGGGAGTTCTTCCGGGACCAGGGCCGGCAGGTCAGAGCAGAGGCCGGGGGGAGGTGGGGTGGGGGCGTGAGGGGTGGAGCATGGGGTGTGGAGACTAAAGAACACCTGTTGCTCTCTCTGCGCCATGCAACTTGCTGCAGGTGTACCTGTCCCGGCCACCTGCCTGCCCGCAGGGCCTGTATGAGCTGATGCTTCAGTGCTGGAGCCGGGAACCTGAGCAGCGGCCGCCCTTTTCCCAGCTACATCGGTTTCTGGCAGAAGATGCACTCAACACAGTGTGAATCATGCCATCCTGCTGACCCACCCTTGGGAAGCCATGACACGAAAACAAGAGAAGCCTATGCCCACCCCACCCACCCCCTTTCCTGACTGCCCATCTCCCCAAGAGGCAGCATGACTGTGGGTGGGCTGGGCCTACCCAAGGAGTTTTCACCGGACCTGGCACTCACTTCCCTTTCCCGTCCCTCTTCTCCTCTGCCCCTGCCGCCCACCCAGCTGGCCCTGTGGATGGGACCGTCTCTGACTTCTACCAGCCATCCTTTGGGAAAAGGTGGGGCAATGCAGGGCAGACACTGGACCTGGCTCACTGGAGCACCTGGGCCTCACTGGATAACACTGGTTCCTAGGGGGAGGTGGCTGTACCCCCAGCTTCTCTCTTCCTGTCACACACTGGACTCTGCTGGCTGAGAACTTGAGGGGTGAGGACGACAAAAAAGGGCCCCTGGAATTGTTCTCAGCGTTGGCCTCCTTCTCCTCCTCCAATGTCCCCTCAGACACTGGACCTGGAAGAGGGGCAGGGTGGCCCCTGCCCTGATCCTCGTCCTTTCTTCCCACCTGCCATGCTGTAGCTAGGCCTTCTCTAAGCCTGTATGTTTCTGTGGAGTAAATACTGGGGATTAGGGGAGAAGAGAGAGCAAGGGGCTGTGGCCTGGGGGTTGGACTTCTCTATTGTAGCTACCACATTGGTTTTTTTCTATAATCACCTGGGGTTTGTACATTTTTGGGGGGGAAGAGACAGATTTTTACACTAATATATGGACCTAGCTTGAGGCAATTTTAATCCCCTGCACTAGGCAGGTAATAATAAAGGTTGAGTTTTCCACAGTTGTGAGTTTCTTGGGGTTTGGTAAAATCTGCCTTCTCCACTTCTCTCTCAACCCATTTCCTTTCTTCCTTCTCTTTTTCCTCTCTGTCTTCAGTCCTACACTTTAACTGTCCAGCACAGTGGTCTATTTGCCTATGATCCAGGCCCTTTGTGATAATGAGTCATCAGGAACTCAGGGAACTTACGTGCACCCAGGGCTCTGCAGGAGCTCTGAAGGGAACTCCTCAGCTCGGGGATTCCAAGGGTGTGTCTGACCCTTAGGGGTCTGGTGAAATCTGTTTACTATTCAGAATTATGTTTTAAAACACAGAAAATATGAAGGATTAACAACTGGAGATAACAATCTCATTGGCTTTTCTTTCTGGGCTGGCTTTGAACCATGATCCTCATATCTTAGCCTTCTACTTAGCTTGGATTATAGGCCTGAACCACTGGCTCCTAGCCCTGTAATTCCTTTATATTGCTTAAATTCTAGAAGTCCCTTTGGGCCTGGGAGGCCCAGGTGGAGACCCTTGGATTAGTCCCAGCAAGCATGCAAGGATGAGTCACTGCTAAGAAAGCATTTAACAAGTTTGAACTAGATTGGGAAGAAGAAAAAAAATCAGTTGCAGGTATTGGGCCAGGCAGACCTGTCTTAATGGCAGTTTAGGTGGAAAACAGTCCCTTGGGAGGTTTTGGCTGGTGATATTTTACAAAATGAGCCAAATGGATAATGAGAATAACAATAAGGATAATTTCATCTGAAGTTGACTTAATAGACTCTTGAGGTCAGGTCACGGATCTAATAGGTTACTGATCACAGTGAGCCATCATAAAGACTGATGAGTTAAGAGTTCATAGGCCAGAGCCAGAATAATAAGCAAATGGAAGCCACTGCAATGAGCTGTTAATGCCAAAATCTCTGAGAACAGACTTTTAAAACAGGCCTAAATGCAAACCCAAGGATTCAGCAAACTTCAGCATGCTCAAACCTGCCCCTCTTTATTGTGTCCTATCTTTGAGTGACAGCATCATGCTCCTAGCAACACAAGTGGTCACCTGACCCTCACCTGCCAGGTCAAATCCAGAACAACATTTGGTGGTTTTTTGCATCCCAAATCTCCCAAAGACTCATTATTTCTCTCTGTTGCTATTGCCCCCACTGGCACACATTGCCATACCCTGTGGCCTACTGTAGTCTCGTTAATCACCTGGACCTACTCCTGTTCCTGTCTCATTTTTTTCAGCCCTGTAAGCATGGTGACCTTCAATGCACATAAATCTGACTTCCCTCCTTTATTTCAATCCCTCTAATAACATCTCACTGATTATTATTATTATCATCATCATCATCATCATCATTAGATACAAGGTCTCACTGTCTTACAATGTAGCTCAGGCTGACCTTAGACTTGCTGTATAACCCAGGCTGACTTTGAACTAATGAGTTTCTTGTGCCTCTATTTCCTGAGTACTGGGATTATAGGCTTGTGTCATTATGCTCGGCTGATGTTTTTGTTTGTTTGGCAGATATGAGGATCAAATCTAGGCCCTTGCACATGCTAGGCAAGTGTTCTATCACTGAATTACACCCCCAAACCAACACTGATTGTTTGTTTATTGAGACAGGCTCTTCCTATGTGGCACAGGCTAACTTCAAACTCACTATGTAGCCCATGTTGACCGCCAGTCTTGATCCTCTTGCTTGAGCCTATTCAATGCAGGGATTACAGACATGCCACCACGACTGGCTCCCCATAAATGTTTAAAGGACAAAATTTTGGGCTGGAGGCATGGCTGAAGTGAAAGTGCCTGCAAGTGAGAGTATGGGCCTTTAGTTCATGCCTTGGTTCTGGCAAAGAAATAAAGAAATAAAGTATCTTGAGCACTGGTATCTCAGCACAAGAGGCTGAGATCTGATGATCGAGGTTCAAAACCAGCTGGGACAGGAAAGTCTGTGAGATTATCTCCAATTAACTACCAAAAAATAGGAATTGGAACTGTGGCAAACACACATACACAGAAGAAAAGAAAGAAATCTTGTTTAATGTTGGTCTCCACAACTTTCTCTAGCACTCTCTCCTGTATGCACCACTGACCTTGTTTCAGTTTTTCCCATGGCTAAAGGCTTTCCTGCCACTGGGCCTTTGTAGCAAGTTGTTCCCTATTTGAAACAATTTTCCCTGTGTTCTCCTTGTTAATTGCTGCTTACCCTTCAGTAGTGGTCCCTCATAAGGACAAGTCCCTTTTTGATGCTCTCTGAACACACAAATCTATTTGTATTATTGTCTTATATATCTTATTTGTATCATTTACAGGTGATATTTTACATGTATTTGTGCATTTGTTTTTTCCATCTTCCTCTCTCACTAGAATATAGGCTGAACAATGGTAAATTCCCTGAATATGTAGCTTAATTAATTGAAAAAAAAAAAGCTGGGCGTTGTAATCCTAGCCTGTAATCCTAGCTACTCAAAGAGGTTAAGGTCTGAGGATTGCAGTTCACATCCAGCTCAGGCAGGAAAGTCTGTGAGACTCTTATCGCCAATGAACTACTCAGAAAGAGCCAGAAGTGTCCCTGTGGATCAAGTGGTAGAGCGTTAGCCTTGAGCACAGAGGGGCTCAGGGAAACAGTCCAGATCCTTGAATTCAAGCTCCAGGACCGGCAAAAAGCCAAAACAACAACAACAAAAATCTAATATCTGAAAGGTTAACATAAAGAGATTCTGTGTAGCTCCCAAACTAAGATTGACAAGTGAAAGTTATAGAAATAGAAATGAAGATAATTTTACTACGCACATACTATACACTAGGTATTGTTTCTTGCATATATCACATTTAATACTCAAAACAATATATGAAGTAGTTAAAACGGTTGTCATTTCACGGAAAAGAAAACTTCTGTTAGGTTACAGGCCTGGCTCCTGGCTGTTCTGCTTGCTGGTTTCCTGGGCTTCCCAATTAAAAGTTGATCCTTAACGTGTGAAAGTGCTGTGTAACGTGAATCATTCCACTTGTGTAGGCGACATGTGAGCCCAAGAGACCCAGTTGTGCCGTCTCCACCTAAAGACGCACTACTAATGGGCCTCTACGCGCCCGCAGGTCCCCTCCACTCTTCATCTCGCCTCTGGACCAGGTGGGTTAGACACGCCGTCACATAGTGTCTTCGCAAGACAGTTGCGGAACGAAATGGTCTGTCTTTTGGTTTCCCCGGGCTTCTCAATTAAAATCCAGCGGCTTCTCGGCCGTGCCTCCCCGCGGTGCCTTTCGGGAGTTGAAGTCAGACACTCTCCAACTTGCCCTGGAGTAGGCATGAAAAGGACTACAATTCCCAGTATGCCTCGCGACAGACGAGTGCAGTGCTTATTCTTATCCTTCCCATTCGTTCACTCCTGCCCTTCCGATTTCTTCACTTTGGGCTCTTGTTTGAAGTCTTTCGTCATTCTTTTGTCTTTCTCTTGTGTGTTTCACCATTTTTCTCTTTATCTCTGGAAGCGAATGCGAGATCTTGGCTGTGATTAAGCGACGGCTGAAGATCGGGTGTGCGCGAGAGGGAATCGACGCTGAGTGGTGAAGGATCCCACCGTGGGTAGGAGACTGGCAATCCGGGAGAAGTTAGATCAGAAATTGGGTCTCTGGGAGAGGGGCGAGGGGAAAAGGCAGAGATAGACTTAGATTTGGGAAGCATGGAAGAGAGAGACGGCTTATTACGGCATCTTTCAGAAGTGGGCTAAGAATTAGGATATGCGAAGAACTGACAGTTTTGGAGTGCAGGGAGAGAGAGGACTAGGCGCAAACAACTGTCTTCGACGCTGCTTAGCTAAAGATGAGAAGTCATGCTGGGAAGGTGGCTCAGTGGTAGAGAACTTGCCTTGCATGCTCGAAGCCCTGGGTTCGATTCCTCAGCACCACATAAGCAAAAAGCCGGAAGTGGTGCTGTGGATCAAGCGGTAGAGCGCTAGCCTTGAGCAGAAGAGCTGAGGGACAGCGCTCTGGCCCAGAGTTCAGGCCCCACGACCGGACCAAAAAAAAAGATGAGAAGTCATTGAAATACAAAACGATTTTGCAAAAATGTAGGACCAGTAATAATCTCATCACTTGGAAGATGATCCCATCGCCAGAAAATGAGTTTAGGGCAGAAATGGGATGAAGAGGCAGTAAACGAGGGGAAGTTTGGAAGAAATAAGTGCTGAATGGCATGGGGGAGGAGACCACAGGAAATATGGGGTTATTGTTTAACTGGCATGGATCTTAGGGGTAGGGTTGTGCTTCTAACACTTACCTCTCTCAGGTGATGGAGAACACCCCTGCAAGGGGTGGACTGAACCGGGTGCACCTACAATGCAAGAATCTACAGGAATTCTTAGGGGGCCTGAGTCCTGGAGTATTGGATCGATTGTATGGGCACCCTGCCACTTGTCTGGCTGTGTTTAGGTAAGGAGCCTCCTTCATAGCAGGGATTATAATGGGGGACATGCATACTGCAATCAGTTACCATAGATAGGAGTGTAGCAGTCTACTTAGGATGGGGGTGGCAAGGCCCCAAACAGATGGAGGTTGTGGGGGCAGCAAGACTGGTAAAGATATACTGGGGAGTGGGAGGAGAGGTAAGATTTTTGAGAGATAGATGAAGGTAGAGATGCAGGTATAACACAGCTGCTTATATTTACATTTGGCCTCTAACCCCCACAGGGAGCTCCCGTCTCTGGCTAAGAACTGGGTGATGCGGATGCTCTTTCTAGAGCAGCCTTTGCCGCAAGCTGCTGTAGCCCTGTGGGTGAAGAAGGAATTCAGCAAGTGAGTCTCCATTCTCAGCCAGATACAAATTCCTCAACATTTACCTTTCCCAAACTTGTTTTTTGGAATACTAGGAAACACATTTACATTATAATTATATATTTTTAGTTAGTGGGGATTAGACTAGATTTAGCACATGCTAAGCATAATATAAACTACCTCTGACTTATACTCTCATTCCTTCCAGGAAATATATTTTTTTTCCTTTTGGAGAGTTGTGATCATCTTTAACAAGGCTTGCTAGGCACTGCAGTAAAGATACTTAAAGAGACACAATATTAGTTTATAATGGTGTTCCAGGATCACCAGTTCAGAAAAGGCAGAAATGGAGGCATCTATAGTCTCCTTCTTTTTGTTCTCTAGATACCCACTCACCTCTCTTCTTCTGTTCCAGGGCTCAGGAGGAAAGTACAGGGCTGCTGAGTGGCCTCCGTATCTGGCACACCCAGCTGCTCCCTGGTGGCCTCCAGGGCCTCATCCTGAACCCAATCTTCCGCCAGAACCTCCGAATTGCCCTTCTGGGTGGGTATGTTGTTCCCATCTTTTTCTAAGCTAGGCCAAAGGAACTGCTTAATATCACTAGTAGAAGGGGACCTCCTTCAGGGATGAGTTGGACCAGATGTGGCTTTAGGATATAGGAAATGTCCCTTTCTTGGGCCCGTGGGATAAGGGAGGGAAGGGCCAGGGGCCAGCAGGGGAGAGACAGAGCTCCTTACTCCTGGCCCATCCTGGCCATAGGGGGAAGGCCTGGTCTGATGACACAAGTCAGCTGGGACCAGACAAGCACGCTCGGGACGTTCCCTCACTTGACAAGTACGCCGAGGAGCGATGGGAGGTGAGGAATTAGGCGTCTGTGCATGTCTCTGCTGTGCTCCTACTTCCTGTAGCTAGCAGAGGCCTCAGTCTTCCTGTTCTGATCCGTTCCTAGGTGGTCTTGCACTTCATGGTGGGCTCCCCCAGTGCAGCTGTCAGCCAGGACCTGGCTCAACTCCTCAGCCAGGCTGGGCTCATGAAAAGGTAAGGAAACCTGAAGTAGAATAGTCACTTCCTTGGCCATTTCCTTGGGTCTTGGATTAACTGGGTATCTGGGATTAGACACCCAGGATTAGAAGCAGATGATGAGTAGGGTACAGTGAGAGATAGCCAGAAAAAGCCTGAGAGGACACTTGGGGAGGGTAGCCTTTTTATGCAGATCATCATCCTACCTCTTCATTTCTAGTAGTGAACCTGGAGAGCCACCCTGTATTACTTCTGCTGGCTTCCAGTTCCTGTTGCTGGACACCCCTGCCCAGCTCTGGTACTTTATGCTTCAGTATCTGCAGACAGCCCAGGTAAGAAGGTCAGAGCCCCTTGCCAATATCCCTGATCTTCTCAAATCCCATTGACAGCCACCCTCAAACTGTTCCCTAACTGTTCCCTGCTCCTCTCCTCCCCTACCCCTCCCATTTCTCCTCTTCTCTAGAGCCGGGGCATGGATCTGGTGGAGATTCTGTCTTTCCTCTTCCAGCTCAGCTTCTCTACTCTAGGCAAGGTAAGTAGGGGACAGGACGGGGAGATGGGAAGGGGAAGTCAGGTTGTGAGATAGCAGAGTGAGAAGATAAGTATGAACACATAATGACCAGAGAAGGGGATGGAGGGAATGCATGTGAGGGATGGGTTGGGGGAAGAAGAAGGAAGATGGGATGTGTTTTGGTCCTCACTAGCCACCTCTTCTCCAGGATTACTCTGTGGAAGGTATGAGTGATTCTTTGTTGAACTTCCTGCAACATCTGCGAGAGTTTGGGCTTGTTTTCCAGAGGAAGGTAAGAGCACCCAGATACATGGCTTCTAGGGAAGAGGGGCCTGAGCAGTAGGGGGAAGTATTTGGTCAAGATTGAGTACTTGGAGAGGAAGTTGAGAGTTGAGATTCTATGCACTGGGAAGGATCTGATGTCCCAGCAAGGAAGATGTAGAGTAATGATTCCTGAGAGAGGACTTCTGTTTTTCCCTTCCCAGAGGAAATCTCGGCGTTACTACCCCACACGCCTGGCCATCAACCTTTCATCTGGTGTCTCTGGGGCTGCTGGGGGTCCTGTGCATCAGCCAGGCTTCATTGTCGTGGAAACCAATTACCGGTTGTATGCCTACACAGGTGAGGCTGGGATATAGGGCTCCCTTGGGGTGGGTGTAGGGAGGGAAAGGAAGCTGGAGGGAATGCCGGTTTATGTTTACTTGGTCTACAGAGCTCTCTGACCTTCTCACACTTGAAGGAAGGGCTTGAGGAAGTCTAGGTGGGGGGGTAACCTTGTCATCCTCTCTTCTATGCATGGGTCAGAATCAGAGCTGCAGATCGCCCTCATTGCCCTCTTCTCTGAGATGCTCTATCGCTTCCCCAACATGGTGGTGGCACAGGTGACCCGGGAGAGTGTGCAGCAGGCCATTGCCAGTGGCATCACAGCCCAGCAGGTATCCCTACTTGCATGGATAGAGGTGGGAAGATATTAGGGGCACAGGATGGACCCATTATGGAAGGCTAGCCTTCAGTCTGCCACAATAGTAGCTGTGAGTGGTCTGTGAACACCAGGCATATGAAAAGAAATCAAGACTTTAGGGGTGGGAACTGCTAGACCCTAGTGGGAAAACATGAGGGGAGGAGGTATAGCTCTTAATTTGTGTCTCAGTATAATGGTTTCTGGCTGTGTAAACTGGACCTCATTGCTTTACCTCTGTGAATCTGGTAAATGACAATCCTTACCACACAGGGTTGTTGGGAGAATTCAGTGAAAGACTAGATGTAAAGCATTGAGCTCAGAACCTGCTGAAGATTAAGTGTTCAGAATACAGTAGCTTCTGCTATTTTAAAGAAAGTAAAACAAAACAAGACTGGGAAGAGCAGACATGACCAGCTGGAGGACCAATTTGAGATAACAGCGGAACAGGGATGTGTTGAGGACAGGAGTATGGAATGGCTATGAAAATTTAAGAGAAAATTCCTTTTCAGTGATATTAGGTGACAGCTTAGATGGCTTTCCTGCCTTCTTGAACCCTCATGGCACTCTTATCTTTTCCTAGATAATCCATTTCCTAAGGACAAGGGCCCACCCAGTGATGCTCAAACAGGTACCAGGATGCTGGTAGTCCATGGCACCTTGCAATGAAATGGTGGAAGAGGAAAAGGGGTGTCCAAACCCTGGGAAAGAGTGGAGGGCTGTGGGAGTCTGGGGCAGCATTCCTGAATCCCTACAGCCCAACCTTGCTCCTGCAGACCCCGGTGCTGCCCCCCACCATCACAGACCAGATTAGGCTATGGGAGTTGGAAAGGGACAGACTCCGATTCACTGAAGGTAAGTGGCTTCTAGTGGCCCAGTCCAAGTTCCTGGCCAGAGGAAGAGCAGGTAGTTCAGTCTTGATGGACTGAAAAAATTCCTGTGCATTTCATTTTTTGTTTACTTAGGGAATGGAGGAGAAAAACTAGCAAGACACTTTTGTTTTAGGGTGAATTTGTAACAGTAAATGAATTGTGTCAAATCAGTAGTTTGGATTTGGCTAGAAGGCAAGTGGGAGAAGTGATTCATTATTTTTCTGGGTTTGGTGAGTGAGCAAGTCACAGGTTTTCTTTTTTTTTTTCTGTCGGTTTTGGGGCCTGAACTCTGGTCCTGGGCACTGTCCCTGAGCTCTTCAGCTCAAGGCTACCGCTCTACCACTTGAGCCACAGTGCCACTTCCGGCTTTTTCTGCTTATGTGGTGCTGAGGAATCGAACCCAGGGCCTCATGCATGCAAGGCAAGC